ATGAAGTCACATTCGAACCAACTGTATAATCCACAGTGAATTGTTGCGTTTCCTGCCGATATTCTCCTGTTAGTTATGCTCCACTGTTAGACGTCCTGTAGACAAATATGCTTGTCCACATCCGCTTAGGCACTGATGTGTTGGCGATGAATTTCAAACATCAGCACTTCAAGCAGCGAGTTGCGTCGAAGGCAAACAAAAATTTATCATCCAGCTCGCATTTCTCAGCATGCAATATTAGTTTACTCGAACTTCCTCATGCTCAACGGTGACACGTTTCAGAATGTTAAGGAAACTCATCTTTTCCGAATATTCTTCTACTTTTTGTTTATTGTTTCCAGTGTGGCAATTTTTCAGCATCATATGAAATATATCCAAAAAACCCTTCGCGTATTTTAAGTAGCTATCTGTCTATATCTCTACAGTCTTTTTGTTGGATCTTGGTCGCTTTTTCAGCTCCTTAATCATATACACAGTTAGTAGAACTCCTTGGGCGAGGGACCAGCCCGTCGCAGGGCAGCTACCTACTCACAGAATAAACGCACACGGACATCCATGCCTTCAGTGGGATTCGAACCCACGATCACAGCGTTCAGGCGAGCGAAGACAGTTCACGCCTTAGACCGCGCGGCCACTGTGACCGGCATTTTAAGTAAGCAGTCCCGTTTAAATTGAAATGCTTCAGATGCCACAATTTTATGCGATGGCCTTGTAAATTTACCACGTAGCCGGACATCGAACATGGGTGCACGTGTATCGAAAATAGATATGGAACGCTTAAATTACAAATAATTGATAAAGTTTGTAGTTCCCAGATACACTTCGAAATACTTCTCTCTCCGATCACATATTTTCTAATAATGTAACTAATAGATCTATCGGGGGCACGCGGTAGCGTATTTGGTTGAGGCACTATGCTACAAGCCGGATGGTCGCGGGTTCGATTCCCAATGAGTTCATTGGGTTTTTCAATTGACCTAATCCTTCCAGCCGCACTATGGCCCTGGGGTCGGCTCAGCCTCTAACAGAAATTAGTACCAGGAATAGGGGGGGCCGGCGCGTAAGACTGACGACCTCACTGCCACCTGTGAGCCGATTGTCTAGAAAGTATAGGAAGCCTCGACGTCTCACAACCCTATGTGTCTCCACGGCCTGATACCGGGATAGCTTTACCTTTTTCTTTTTACTTATAGATCTATCGAGGTATTCCGGCCACCGACACAGTAATGAATTAGGTTAAATTTTAATCAAATATGTTAAAATCGACAATATCGACAGTTTAATTAATTTCTTGTCAGCGTCTAACAGAAATGAGTACCAGGAATTAATTAAATAACTTTCCTGGGAAGTAAAGCGCGGCCGGCGCGTAAGGCTGACAACCTTACCGCCATCTTTGAGCCGATTATCTAGATAATGTGGGGGACCTCGACGTCTCACAATCCTATGGGCCTTCACGGCGTGGCACAGGGATAGCTTTACTTTTACTTTATTCAACCACATGGGAGGATAATATTAAAAGGGAACTCAGAGAAATAGGATGGAATGATGTGAACTGGATTCATCCGGCTTAGGATAGAGACCAGGGGAGAGGGCTCTTGTGAACACGGTGACGAACCTTCGGGTTACATAGAATGTTGGGAAATTCTTGAGTGGCTTGGCGATGGGCTCAGCTCTATGGAGTTAGTGTATTTGTTTCAGCCGCAATATATTTCGGTCGCATAGTCAATCAGCAGATGGTCTGTAAATAATAATTTATCAATAATAGGGTATCTTATTTGTTTATTTACAAAAACACATGTTCATGGTTTATGCGACCGAAACATATAGTTTTAATCGTCTCTTGCATCCTGTTGTGTGTTTAATTAATAAATTTACCGACTACACAACAAGTTTTTTATTATCACTACATGTTTCGACCTCAAGAGGTCATCCTCAGGTGTATGAACACGGCTGTATAATTACACGCGGTCACATTCATTTTTCACTATTCGACCCTGTATCTTATCTTCTTTATAAAAGAACTCGATATATTAGTGAGCGTAAATCTTGATAAGATACAGGGTCGAATGAGTGAAAAGTGAATGTGACCGCGTGTAATTATACAGCCGTGTTCATACACCTGAGGATGACCTCTTGAGGTCGAAACATGTAGTGATAATAAAAAAACGTGTTGTGTAGTCGGTAAATTCACTCTACTATGAAGCATATAGTTGTTTAATGAGATAATGAAACTGATTACAACATTGATATTGTCAGATTTAGAGGTGTGACTATAGACGGGGTATGGATTTCATGTTGGATTTATTGACACATCTCGGAACTACAAGTAATTACAGCCCCACCGATGATTTCCACACTTTACAGTTGATTACAGCATGCTTTTCCAGCCTTTTGTGTCTTCAACAGCCGTTCCCTGGCATCGGCTTCTAACAATGAAGATTCTTCACCTTCCCGCGCTCAGGTCCTCTTATCACAGCCGCCTGTGCAGAACTTTTGTCAATTTCCTTAACTGCCAACTGTCATCTTAACTATAGTGCCATCTCTTCTCAGCCTCCCTTGCAGAGCTCAACTCTCGACTCCCAGGCCTCAGCCCTCAGTTATCCTTCAGCAAAGTCAAAGTAGAGTTACTTTAAGACTGGCGGTTTGCCGCCAGTCAGTTCATCTTGGCGTCAAGCCCCTTGAGACTCACTACCAGATGTTTTTTTCTTCCAATTACTGAACCCTTGCGGTCATAGTCCTCTGACGAGAGGGTGGGTTTGTCTGTTATCAATATGCTTGGCTTCCGTCAAGTGTACGTTACGCACATATACAGCATGTTATTGAAAATTCTTCCTTTTGCAATACACACAAGTCCTCTGACAGTACAGGCTTTGCAAAGCAGATTATGCCTATCTTACGTATCTTATGCTACAACGGCAGCTTAGTCACTTGAACGGTCGTAAGCTTGACCACCGCCAATTCTAAGACTTTCATATTTTCCATGTCTGGCTTCGCCTTGTCCTATATCACGAACAGGTTCATTCTCATGATTTTGTATGACTTCTTCTTGTCGCCTGCACAACTATAGAAAGATCATATACCATGGATTAATTATTAAACACCTTTTCATCTTACCCATTAATAGTAACGTGACGTATGGGTATGATATGTTATCTCCACAGCCAAAACTTAGCCTGCTGCTAAATAGCTAAAGCCGTTCAATGTTTTCAGGATAAGTAGTAATCTCACGCAAATATTGACACTGTTACAGCTAACAAAGCACGGGTCAGATTGACAATGAAGTTGGCGCACTGAACACGGAATATTGAAGAATCCTGAGAGCTTCGTGCGATGTAGCAGTAAGTGTACACATACACACACATTCAGTAAAGAGAAGTACAGTCTAATATGAAATTTGTTGTCATCAGATTCGTAACTTCGTAATATTTAACCTTTCGCATGATCGGAAATGGTTGCGTTCAGTGAAAGCGTACACGTATTTGTTTTTCATGGAATTCCTACTCGAAAGTAATGTAATTTTCTCGATTATTTCCGGCACCAAAAACAATATTTAGCTAAGAAAAACGCGTCATCCACGTGTTTCCCTTGGTATATACTTCTCACTAAAATTTCTCAGAACCAAAGCACATTTTTATATTATCTCCATATACGTTTGGGTAGCCTTAATGATCCTTCCAATAAGATTTCGGAACCAAAATGTTGTTAAGGATATCTTGTTTCCACCATAGGGTAGGGACCAGCAGCGGGCTCTTGTAAATACGGTAATGAACCTTAGGGTTCCATAAAATATTTGGAAACTTTTGAGTAACTGAGCAACTGGTGGCTTATCGAGGACTCGGTTAGTTATCCTGTTTTCACTGTGCGTTCTGTATGTCCCAACTGCCTCAACGTTCATTACATATTCAGCAATATAGCGCTGTATATTTATATAATTATATAATGTGGCATGTAGACCAGTTGCTAGGCAACGACAGCGAAATAAGCAACTATACAAATGCCGTTGGTAAGTAATGGCTCTGCAAATAACGGCCATTGCTAAGCAATGACTAAATAGCGATCATACAGTCAGCCCAGCAAACACTAGGGCAACAATTGCACTGCAACAGAGAAACTATGTTTTCTACGCTGTACGTGCTAAGATGTTGTAAACAGGAGAAGTCAGTAATCTGTCGGTTGGTGAGTTAGTGAGTTAGAGAGCCTGTGTGGTTAATTGGTTGTGGGCTGTTGCTGTGAGAAGGTGGTAGCTGAGATGGAATTTCGAGGACCCAGAGGAAGGGGAATGTCTGCCGTTGAAGCCGCTACCAAACAACATTGCGATTTGTTAAGTGTGTAGAACAGTGAGAGCATAATCCTTACTTGTAGTTACAAATTGTAAAAGCCGAATAAATCTGATTACCGATCCAAACCCCATCTATAGTACTTTCTCACATGACAGTATATAATCGTACACACCTGAGAATGGTCAACCACAACCAAAACATGTAGTGTTTTAATATAATAAACTGACATATATTCAGTCTAATCGCTTATTATATATAGCAGAATCAACATGTTGTGTGACGGTGTAAAAACTCGTAAAAAAGTAATACGTCAACTTGTGGTGATGTCTTCAGTGCAGCAAATGTAATATTCCATATTAATTTGTGCAATGTGATTTGCCATATTATGCAGTAAATTTGAGTTGTAGTTGTTTCCTGTACTGTGAACAGGATCAGCATGTTGTTCAAGGATGTCATCTGTCCGCTATTGCATGTTTCAGTTTCAGCAGACATACAGTATTCCCTTTTAAAGTCAAAATTAATTAGAATGTGAATTTTACTGGAGTGATTGATAATTAATCCACACACTTCCCTTATTACAAGTGTTGCCTCAGAGATGAGGCCACACAAAAATGTTATAGGAAATATGTGTACATTGTCCCAAAGAGTATTTCACAGACCACAAATCCTGTTTCTAGAATGGATAAAAGTTTATACAATGTGTCTTTCGTTACTGAACAGGTACAATGGCTGAAATCAGCAGCAAACACAGGTTCCAGTCACAAAGACTTGCGTCGCCAAAATCCTGACGGCTGGATGCTGCGCTTGTGTAAGGTAACGTGATATTTAATGTTGTGGGCATGTGACGACTTTATGACAATGCCATTATTCCATATTTAGATATCTCATAAAGAAATCATCCTTAATCATGTCTATCTCAGGTCACTCTTTACAGATGACATGTTGGCCATGTGGGTTTTTGGAAAGAAGTCAGACACACTGTCTTGGAAAATATATGTATATATCAATAACAATGTTTAAATACTTGTCAGTTTTAGCTAGTAGCAGACATATGACACATTTAAAAACGGAGCTACTAACAAAGAAGGACGAGAACCCTCATACTATAACTTACAAGAAACGTTTTTGTTTTCATATCTGTGGCACACACATTTCTTCAAATGACCTGAACAAATTGGTTACATAAGGATAGCTTCTAAAACAGTCTTTCATCAGTTTTCACCAGTTCAGAAGGTATGAAAGTAGTGAAACATCAGAGTTTGGTTGTTGTGTACCATGCTACCACAATCTTCAATGTATCCTAGGTTTGAATCACTAGCAAATGACATGTGATTACCCATACGTCATCCTTATGACACAAATATTGCCACTGTTTCGTTTTCTGTAATATGTTGAACAGTGTTTAGACAATCCTGTTACTACATTTTCCTCCTGTTAAATTACTATACTCAAAACAATAGGTGTAGTATATTACAAAATATATATACAAGATATTATCACAATAAAGAGTGGATATAAACAAATTATAACAATATCAACACTTTTCATCCACTGGCCTAACTAAACATAAATAAAGTTAGAAGTGACCACTGACTAAAGTCAAGCATGTAATAGCATGAATTTTGAAATAATTTTGAACTTTGTTATACAGTAGTTCTAATGCATTTTCTGATTTTGGCCAATTGTAGAGACTAATTCTAAAATATTCTGAACTTTCTCACAGCATACACAAAAATTTTAGTTATCAATGATTTGCTGAATAAGCAGCTGCAGACAGATAAGTGCTTCCCTGCAACTTGGGGGTTGGACAAAAGGCTAACAATTCCTACCTTTAAAAATGTAGCATATTATGATATATCACAACATAGGTTTCAGTGGTGGGATTCTGTAAATACAGCAATGACTTGTCAGATACCATAAAAAGTGAGGGATTTCTTGAGCAGTTGGGTGAAAATGAGTTTGATATAAAGGGCTGTGATTCCTGGAGCTTGAGCTGTGAATGAAAATAAGTTGTTAGAGGCCATAAGTGACCAATGGGGGTGACATTTGGCCACGCTGGTATAAGGATCCATCTCAAGACACAAAGTCCTCTTGATAGTATATTTTCTTTATTTAGAAATGTATAATTTTATGCAGTAAATATGCATCATATGAGATTTGAGGTTCTCAAAGCACTGATTATGAAGTATCCCATCTTCTGGTTGTGACACCAGATAGCCTGATGGAAGTTTACTGATGTTTCAGATGAATGTATTGAACGCATCTTCAGGGTCGAAGGGTAAGTCATGCTAGCAGCAAGTGGAACTTTGTTTCTTGTTTGCTGTTCCACTTACTCTTTGACTAGGAAGATGGGCCACAGTATACTCCTCTGAAGCAACAGTGAACTTCGACCAGACTACATTGAAATCACATCCCAGGATACAGTACACTCCGATATACACCGTATTCCTATTTTCACAAGATTATACAACTTAGGCTGCAACATCAAAGAAACGATCTATCAGTGCTGATACCTGTGCTGGGGCATACTTGATATACTTCTCTGTGTTCTTGGTGAAAGGAACAGTGCTGTACCTGCAAAGCCAAACCACACGATTTTACTAAAAATGGTATGTGATTTCTTTTGTAATAGAATACACTTTTTAATAATTTCCTTAACTGCCATTATGTAAATATTGCACAACTATCAGTGTATGTACAGGTTCGGCAGGGCCCAGCAGGCTTAGTGTTAAGCAGCAAATAACACAATTCTTTTACCGACAAGTTAATTGGGGACTGAGATAGCTCAGTTGATAGAGTGACAGGCTACAGGCTGACTGGCCAGTGTTCGATTCCTTTCCATTTTCTTTTCAAAGGTATTAAAAATCCCACTCACCTCCAATTAGTGCCAAGGTCAAGAAAATGTGGATCTATACATAAACTCACCCATATGCCTTCAGGGCTTAGTGCGTAATTAGTTAAGCACAGGGATGGCTTTACATTTACTTTTACTTAAGTATTACAATCTCCAGAAGCCAAGATAGGACACTTGGTATAGATACTGGCTAGAGGCTGGACAGCTGAGGGGTTGCAGTTAGTGTACCACTACAGGCAAAATTTTTCTTCTCTCCACATCGTCCAGACGAATTCTGAGGGCCACCCAGCCTCCTATTCAACATGTGCAGGGGGCTCTTTCCCCAGGAGTACAATGGCCAGGGCATGACGCTGACCACTCACCTCCATCTAGTGCCAAGGTCAAGAATGGTGGAGCTATACCTCCATTCCCCATCCATCCTGATGGCTTAATGCTTAGTCAAGCAAAGGAACAACTTTACTTTTTCTTAGCCTTTATTGCCAAGTGAAATTCCTGCTGCCAGCACCTTAGCAGTGAAAGATTTAAACTTCTTATTCCCAGACATTAGAGATTAGTAACGCAGGATTTGAGGTTCTCATAGCAGTGGTTATGAATATTTCTGTCTTCTAGGATATGACACTGTGTAGTCCACTGAAAGTCAACCAGTGTTTCAGAGGAACATGTAGTCTCCATCCTCAGGGTCAAAGGTTAACATAAGCTCTGCTTGCTACCTGCTTCATGGTGGTTTCTTACTTGGCTCGTTCTTCGACCCTAAGCTGGATGTACATGTTCCTCCAAAACATCAGTTGACTTTCAATGACTACATGGCATTGTATCCCAGAAAACAGAATTCTTCAGGGACGATATTTCAAAATCTGCATGGTCCATATAACACCAAATAACAGTGCAACTATTAGCTAAGAATTTGAAAATGGAAAGAAATGTCTGTGACCTTAAAAACACCAACTCAGCATGTCTCAGAGTAAGTGCAAAAACATGGAAGAAACCAGTCAAGATTGTCTGTGATGAGGCTTATCATGGTTTTCTTCCGTTTGTCCAGGAAAATACTGGGACAGTACCTCAAAATAAGGAGATTACTTATCTTATGGAATGTACTGCCATATAATGTGATAGATGTTTACTGAGGTTTCAGAGAAATGTGTTGTCTCTATCTTCTATCATAAAGATGGGGAAAGCAGATTCCTCTGAAATTTTGGTACCTACTTCTCACACCATACAGCATCGCATCTCAGTAGACCATTCTCTCAATAGTCACCACTGTGAGATCCTCAAATATCATATTCTTAAGAACATCTGATTAAAAACTTTGGTTGAAGCCATTTATTTTTACTGATTCCCTTCAAATATTCAGCATAAAAAGTTTAAGTTTTTGGTTTTAGTATCTGGTAGTTAGTTAGTTATTAGAGAGGATGGGTTTCCCCATGCACTTAGACCTGTAGTGGTCCATTGTGCTTCCCTCTATGATTTCTACCAGTCTCTATATCCTACCGGTATTGGTGCTTACCATCAGTCCCACCCAGCCAGCGAGACCGGCTCTCTACTGGCTGAGAAGTATCTATAATGCTTCCCCCATCTACCGGAGGTATTAGTGACTGCTGTTGGGCGGGAAACGTCCGTTAATTTGGCTCAGTGACCTCCTTTGGAGGTATGAGATTCTTTTACGTGCCGTAAAGCTACGAAACGGGACCCACGGATTAAAGTCCCTCCCGGAGGACTTGTTCCCTGAATTTTTCCACCCTTAAAAATTCGATGACCTCTGCCGGGTATTTGAACCCACGTACTACGAGTCATGAGGTGGGAACATTACCTCTAGACTATGGAGGCCGCTTTAGTATCTGGCAAGTTTCCCTACGTCTTTTTTTATCCAGAGGGAGGCAACTGAAAGAGACAAAATTTTCTGTCATGCTTCAGAAACTAGGTGTTTTTAGTTCTGCTTACTTTTCATAGAAAGCGTGATACTTTGGAAGTATGTACTCCTTATTGTCTCTCTTCAAACTTTCTCGTAGTTCTACATCTGGAATCGAGTAGCTGCGTTGGACTTTAGCAATTTCTTCCATTTCCTTGTTGAAACCCTGAAAACAAATTCATGTCCACCACATTCTCTCATAATTGCAGCAGCAGCAGTATGTTCAAATGCAATATCAATATTATTAACACATTAGAACGGCCTACATTGTTTAACATAGTTCCATGGCCAGCCATACGTTTTGTGATATGTTGTATTATGCTTTTATGTACACAATTTCTTGGTGTTTTTAAGAATGGCATGGTACTTCAGCTTGGGAGCAAAGGAGCTGCATGCACAATGTCCTCATCTCTCCTCACTCACAGGTCAAAACTGTAGTAAAGAATATAATGAAACCCTGATCCATTTCAGCAAGCCACACTCGTAAAGCAGACTTACAGCAAATCTCTCCTTGATCAGGTGTCTGTCCTTATCCCTTAACTTTCCTGCATGTGCCATAGCTACAGGTGCATCCTCAGTCCCCCAGATATGGCTCAGAACTCGACTCCAACTGCAACACAGAATAAAGATACATCTTCCAACTTCCTTTGAAGGTTACTATTCTGCACCCTTTAATTTCTCACTTAAACTTACACAGTCTGTTACTCGGTTCATTTAACAGCACTTTCTCAACTGCACAGATTTTACATTATGGAATAGAGAATGATGCAGTGGAAGGGACAGACTGAATAAAACCACGAAACCCTGTCATGGTCAAAAATCAATAAGCTGAGATTTGAGTCTGGGACCTTCCTAATATGGAACTGATTACTAATCGCTGACCTTCAACATTCAATAATGTATGGCCCCTTGATATCTTCTGACTTAATAACAGATTTTCATGAAATCTGGTACAAAATCACACCATTGGTATGGTTATCCATCCTTTGTACTTTCTAAATCCTGTATCAAGCTTGGCAGCTGTACAAACCTTTGAGACGAAAGTGACATCAACATCCTTCAAGCACTATTCTCATATCTTGTGATACTGTAGTTTTATTATCTTTATTATTATTATTATTATTATTATTATTATTATTAGAGGGGGTGGGTTTCCCCATGCACTTAGACCAGTTATTGGTCCACTGTGCGCCCCCCTTTAATTTCTACTGTCGCCATACCCTACCGGTAATGGTGTGCTATCAGCCCCGTTCAGCCAACGAGGTCGGCCGTCGGTACCTGATATTTCCCCCATCTACCAGAGGCATTGGAAACTACTTGGGTGGGAAATTGTTACCTAATTTTGCTCAGAGGTCTCCTAGAGACATGAGGATCTTTTATGTGCTGTAAATCTATGACATGTGACACACGGCTTAAAGTCCCTCCCGGAGCACTTTTTCCCTGAATTTTTCCGCCCTTAAAAATTCCACGACCTCCGCCGGGTTTGAACCCACATACCTTGAGTCATGAGGTGGGAACGTTACCCTTAGACCATGGAGGCCGCTGATACTGTAGTTACTCACATAATTTATACATTTTTTTTTTCTGAAATTTACAGTGGCACGTTACAAGGAACACACAGCAACAACTTTATCATATCATGAGAATAGTGATGTGTATAAAAATATTGTTGCCTACATAAGGACTGATTCACGTTACAGTGGAACCCCCACATAATATTCCTTGGTTTTAAGTTCTCCCTCATTTAACATCAAATTTAAATGGCCCAAAGTCAGAATCTCAGTGTTACATACCTCTTTAAGCTTTTCCTCAGATCAGAGTTCAAATTCATAGCTCCAGAAAGAAAGAAATCCATAATAGTTCCTGATTCCAATTATCTCTCCCAGTAAGTTTTATAACAATACACTCATGTCTACAATAAATGAGTATCAAGGCAAGTGACATATGTAAGACTGCAGAGAACACATCCAAAATTATATGCACTCCACACTGCAACATATCGATCTATTATTGTACCCCTTAGACATGTTTGATAGTTTTCCACAGGCCCTAAATTGTTACTCTAAGGAGTATAGGACATGCAGAAGGGTGGAAACATCCCCCACACCTTTGTGAGTAGGCCTTCTTGTTTTCCCTTATCATATCATGGTAGCTCTCCTCACAGTCAGGCTCTGACAGCTGAACCAGGTCTAGCAGTCCTGCACGTTGCAGTGCTTTCAAAACATAGTGGTTGTTGTTGAGGCGGAACACTGCCCGCAGATAGATGTCACTGTATAGGTCGCTCTTACCAACCAGTGTCAGGTTTAACTGTACCAACACCTTCTCTGTAGTAAATAGCAAATTACACAGAAGGATTATGAAATGAGCACAGAAAATTTGAACATAATCAATCTGACAGACAGATTGCACATTGTCTAAAGTGACTATGTGAGATGTGAGGTTCTCACAGCAGTGACTATGAAGACTGTCTTCCAGACTGTCATGCATCCAGTTTGGAAGTACATGCTGCCTCTATCTTCGAGGATAGAAGGTTCTTCTACACATCCCAGAACACAGTAATCCTCAACTAAGTAACCAAGTCCTTCCTGAGAAGCCAATATTTGCTCAGCTAGTCAAGAAATTCCTTACATTTTATGGAATATGAAAATTCATACCATTTAATCAACAGCCCACAACTGTGTCCTATCCTGAGCCAGATGAATCCAGTCCACATCCTCTCATCATATTTATTTAAGAAATAGTATTCTCCCATATCACTGCCTGCGACTTCCATGTACACCTTTACTTTAAGTTTTGTACCAAAACTTTATGCATATCTCTTCTCTCTCATGCATGCTGCATGCTCTGCCCACTTCATCCTACTTGGATGGATTTTCCAAAAAGACATAAAGAAGTAAAGTAAGTGGGCATGGAGTGGATTCTTTAGGCTCTGGATAGGGACCAGTAGTGTACTCTTGTGGATACAGTAAAGAACAACTGGGTTCCATAAAATTCTGGGAATCTCTTGACTAAGTGAACAACTACTATCTTCTCAAGGGTTCTGCTCCATGGAGTTAGTTGGTTAATTTGTTGGTTGGTTAACTAGTTAGTATGACTCACTGATATATATCCCCACTAGAGCCTTGTTCTTGTCCACTTTGCCATGTCCTGGTATCAGAGTTAATGCATTACTGTACACAGGATCCTGAGCGAGCACGCCCCCTATAGTGTCCACATAATCAAGAAGTTGCTCCAAGAATACCAGCACATTGCTTGTCAGTTCATGAACTGTCCCATCTTTTGGTAGCTGTGTGCTTGGATCTGAGCGGACACTCTCAATGAAGTCTTCCAGAGCCTTGGCTCCCTGTTGAAACAATTAATGACAGATATTATTCATACTATGCTATAATATACCAAGTATTAATACCAAAAATTCCAATTATTTTTTAAGTAATCTATTCTTCCATCCTGTATACACTAGTAGGATTAGTAACAATAGTCTTGAATGCCTTTGTAAGCAAATTTTCCATCCTCCCCCCAGAAAAACTCCTGGTGGCACCCATGACAGGAATGTATATCAGATTATGACATGGGGAATCAATGGAAAAATAGGATTTATATTACACAATGTCACAATATGAGCACATCTGGAAGAACACATCCCTTCTGTAACACAAGCATGTGCTGTACATGGTGGGCCATAAAATCCGGCCCTTGCACATGGTAAAGGATCATGCTTCAAATGAAGCTTGTAGATCCAGATCATTTTTGAGTTTCACATAGAGTGCAATAATATATTAATATGGACCAATGTTAAATTCACATGACAACTTGATCAGTATCTGCTGAGTACATACAAGAACACCCATCCAGCTTGCAATCATCTTGCACACTTTACACAAAGAATGCATCATAAAATTACCAAATACTAACAAAAATACAGCTGCTTAAAATTGCACACCACACACAAACTCCACTGAGTGGAGTTCTTGTAGAGAATGTTACAGCTGAGTCAAGAAATTCTTTGACTTTAATGAAACCTAAAGGTTTTGCAAGACTTGAACCTGAACTAAATGAATTCAGATCATATCCTCACACCATGCTTTTCTTTTCTTATGATCCATCTTACTATTATCTTTTCACATGTGCCTAGCTCTACCATTTTGCCTCTTTTGTTCACGTTACCTGTACATGATATTGTAGCATCTCTCACCTCTCTTATCCAGGTCATATGCCTTGGCAAGAATTAATAATAAAATGCTGTCTGAACACTTACTGTGCCATGCAAAGTGTTGAGGATTGAGGCAAACTTTGAGCGAACATTGTAATCACAGCCTTCCACAGTCCGTTCAAATTCAGGACGCATTGTGAGCAGGTGTTTCAATATTGGAAACACTACCAGTACTGCTGCAAAATCATGGCGGTTGATGCAACGTTTGGCTCGAGATGCTATACTCTGTAAGAATATACATTAAATTAATTAAAACACTTCTCAACCTGATGTCACTGAGCATCCATGAATTTTGTTGGATAAATGTAGAGATATAAGCAAGGAATTTGTTTCCTTTTTAGTTCTGACATGAATTTACACACCCACTGGTTTAACAAAATAGGTGTACCTCGCCATCTTGAACCACCATATCCATGGCATCGCGGATAACAATCTCGAACACTTGGTGCTGATGTTGTAGAGGCACAATGCCTACCATGAGCGAGCGTTCACTCTGCATCAGCCGCTGCAAGGCCATCACACATACCAGATAGTTCTCCATCTCTTGCTCATCCACTATGTCTTCTCGTGATTCTAGGGCAATACATTAAATTTGAGCTGCTGTATAGGGCTACAGTAAAACATATATACACTGGATTAATAATATTAACTGTGTATATCATTGGTTTATTTACATAAAGGTAATACAGTCATTATCTCAACCCACAATGTCCTGACTTATGATGCCATTATATTAGTGCCCACTATACTTATGTTCCAAACTTTTGAACTTATAACTCAGAACTCAAAATTCTGACCTGGAACAACTTCTGAAAACTTGAAAGGATTCTGATGATGGTGTATACTGTACTTCTGTATAGTGTACTCATCAATGAAGAGGTTAACAAATAAAAAATGCAAGTTTTTATGAATATTAGTGGCTTCCACTACTTCTGCAAGTTTTGCTCTGGGGATCACTCCCCATCCTTCCTACTCACTGGAATTATCCCCCTGTGATTTCATTTTGTTTTCCAAATTGAAAATAAAACTGAAGGGATGACATTTTGAAACAGTGTCTGACATACAAAGGGAATCACAAGTGGCACTTGACAGCATTGAGGAAATGACTTCCATGGTGCTCTGGAAGTGTGGTAAAAATGATGAGATGGCTCTATATGTTCCCAAGGAAATTATTTTGAAGGAGATGGCAGCCAAAATTGAGTAAGTTAAGCCAGCATTTCTGTTTTGAACCAGTTCGGGAACTTTCAAATAGCACCTCATATATGACAATTTTTCAACACAATCACCTTGCCTATTAATATGTGTGTCCCACCATGAGATAAAATTATCCATAGCCTTGCAGTAGGAGTCTCGGATAAGCCACAACATCCAAAAATTCACTTCAAGTTGAACATCTGAAACTGTCAAAGCACCTGTCAAGAAGGTGCTACTCTAACTTCAATTTGTTTGGGCCATTAAAGCAGCACCTTCCAGGAAAGCAGTGACACAGACATGAACACAAAGCTTGAAGTGCGCCATTAGCTGTCAGAGTACTGGAAGGGGATGATAATCTCATTTAAGAGCAGAAAAATATGCCTTAATAGATATGACAGTTATGTTCAAAAACAGTACAAATATGTGCCCTGAATGCTGTGTACTGTCATAATGGTATGAACAGAAGTATTGTCACAAAAACTGTGTTACCTTGCTTTTCTGACATTTCACACAGATAAATGATCAACTGGAAAGGATTTGGAAAGAAGGTGTTGTGTCTTAATTGAGTACTGTACTGGCATTTGATTGGAGGAACTGAGAAAAATCAGGAATCTGGCTGAGATTCAAACCAAGCCCATCCTGACAACAAGTCTAGATTCTTTCCTCTATGCCATCCTGTTTCACGTAACTTGATATTCTTCCAGTGTTATCTGTGGTCGATGCCATGACCAAGATAAAGAGGAGGGAGACATGTGTATTACCAAAACCCACCAAACTTCACATGCAATGGCAGATTACCATCAGATAGAAATAGATAAATAATAAATCAATCTACAAATTACTTCTAGAAGACAGGCCAAAATGACGACATGAAGAGTTCTATCTTCTGGGATATAATACCATATAGTCTGCTGAAAGTCAACTGATGTTTCCGGAGAATATTTTATCTCCAGCTTCAGATTTGAAAAGTAAGCTTCACAGGAAGCCAGCAGACTGCTTGCTCCATGCCAGCTTGCTGCTTGGCTTACTCTTCAACCCTGAAGATGGAGGTAACATGCTTCTCCAAGATGTCAGTTGGCATTCAACAGACTACACATCATTGCATCCCAGAAGATAGAACTCTTCACAACCACCACTGTGTGAACCTCAAATGCTATATTTTCCCTGTAGTTTTGTATGGGTGTGGAACTTGGTCTGTCACATTAAGGGAAGAACATAAACTGAGGGTGTCTGAGAATAGAGTATTAAGGAGAATATTTGGATCTAAGAACAATGAAAAATAGGAGACTGGAGCAAACTGCATAATGAGAAGCTTCATAACTTGTACTCTTCTCCAAGTGTGATGAGGATATGATTGAGCAGCGCTAAGTTGCAGGCATGGGTATGGAGATGAGAAGCACCTACAAAGTTTTGGCAGGAAAACCTGAAGGAAAGAGAACTGGAGAGAGTGGACTGGATTAATTTGGCTCAGGACAGAGACCAGTGGTGGCACCTTCTGAACATGGTAATGAACCTTCATGTAACATAAAGTGCTTGCAATTTCTATAATAGCTGAGGAACTATTAGCTTCTCAAAAAGGGCTCAGTTCCTTTGAGATAGTAAACCTTACAAAAGGATGTGACATGGCAACACACTGATCACTTTCACTAAACAGCTACCAAGCTACAAAACAGGAAGGACAACAACAGAACAACTGTTATGTTGCCTCATGACCACACCAGAGACAAAAAAACAAAGGAAACTGGAGAGAAAAAAAGTTTTATATTTAACGACCATGTATTTATCTTCCGTCAATATCGCAACACTTGTTTATTCACTACTACGGAAGATAAATACATGGACATTAAATTAAACAACTGCAACAGGATGCTGAAATACAGAATTATTTTATATATTTGATAAAATTGACAGCTTCATCATTCTGACCTCACCTAAATGTAATGCAGAACGTCGAGTTCCAAGACTGAAACCTGTAGAATGTTCCAGAGTTTGCGTAGCAATCTGTAGCATCTTGTTAGCTTTTTTCTCGAACCTACACACATTACAACATTCTTATCATTCAGCAAAGAAAAATAGTTGTTCCAAGTGCAATAGAAAGAGGATATCAGTTTTACAAATCTTTTATTCATATTTTCTAATTGCTGTATTGCTAACAGTATTTATATTTACTAGGCAAGTGATACTGACTTCTTCAGCTTGAGACAAGATGGTGAGAATTTGAAAAAAGATCAAGTGAAACAGTATAGACAATTGCCATATATTCTCATTCTTCTGACGTCTGACAAGCTATACTTAAAGCTTCTCTGCATCTGAGTGACATAGTCCATGAATCCATTTATCATAATCACTAGTACTTACATTTATTTACAGTAAATATCTTTCAATAATTAAGTCAAGGTAACTGGGACAAGGTAATACTGAATGTGTTCAAGCAGTTTTAATCAACAGATATGCAAAATTAGACATAAGATTTGACACCTGCAGAATATTGTTCATAATTTGTGCAAACAAGATTGAAACATGTATATATCAGAGAATGAGGATACACACTCACATCTGCAGTCTTTTAGATGCTCTTCGGCCTGGAGTTTGAAATTTTGGTCTCTGAAACATAATTATTATCACTTTTTATGTTTAGAAAGCAGAACATATTACTGTATCTATGTTAGTATATTTAATATAATGGGTATGATGTACTACTAGCCAGTCACGGTAGCTGAGCGGTCTAAGGCATGCACTGTCTTCGCTTGCTCGGAAGCCGGGATCGTGGATTCGAATCCCACTCAGGGCATGGATGTTCAGTTTGTGTGTGCGCGTTTTTCTGTGTTTGTCTACACGTAGAGGCCTTGTGACGAGCTGATCACTCGCCCAAGGAGTCCTACCGTATGTGTAAGATCTAGAAAAACTGAAGTGAATGGAGTTCATGGAGGTAGGCCTAGGCCCACTGGGGCTGTAGTGCCAAGGAAAAAAAATGATGTACTACTACTAAGAACAAAATATTTTTTTAAGGTTCTATCCAATCATTCACTAATGGGAAATAAAAAACAAACAAATCCACAGCCAGACCCTCACCCAAATATGAAATAAACAGGCTAGGTGTAAGGGATATTTCAGTAAGAAATGTTCCTCCATGGCAAGGGTAAAATTACCCTGAGCTCTAATTAAGTAAGCCCCATGCCATGGAGACATATGGGGGACTGGAATATAGCTCCACTATCCTTAACCTCGGCACTAGGTAGCAGTGAGTAGCCAGCTCCATGCCCCCTGCTGCTTTACCCTTGGGAAAACAGCCACAGGATGATGAGTAGGCCACAGAACTGGTCTGGACATCAAAGAGAAAAGAAAAACTTCTTTGTTCCTGCTGGCAATCAATCCCCGAATATGTTCCTCCCTGTGAAAACAATAAAACTCACCACCATTGGGGAATTTGCCACTGGCACACTCTGTATACTTCCACCACTAGATGATCTCTGCTGTTCCTTCAGTTGTTGTAAAGATTTAAGTAAGATAGTAGCACGCACACGTGCATACACATTCATGTATTCATCTCGGTTGTGCATGATGAGCCAATCCGCAATGCAGATCAGCTCACTAGAAACAGCTTCTGGGAAATGGTTCAGAGAGGCAGCAGTTTCTTCTACACAAGTCAGTAAAACCAGAATCACATAAAACATAATTAGAAGTCTTCAGACAGACAAATAAAGAATATTTTAATCTCACATTAACATATAACACTGAAATATGGATCCTCAATTAAGAGTATCTTGGCATATAAGAATACAATACTTTTGACAGAACAACATTATCCTGTGATAATGAATCATGGACAGTAACAAAAATTGATGAGAGAAGACTGATATCAATAGAAATGTGTTTGAACAGGAGGACCAAGAGATACACCTTAAGGTAGTGTCCCAGAATAACCCTGGAGGAACTGAATAAAGCCATAAAAAACAATTACAATACAGCAGAAATATTTAAGTACTTCAGAAGTCAAACCGTATGATACTGAAGATGTTTAAACTAGAGAACTGCATTAATACAATATTATGTTTCTGGACATTATCCATCATCCTGGTTTTAACACAACACCCTATTGACTGGACCCAACTTAATAGGTTTTATCTAAAGATGGAAACAGAATGCAGTCTCCAAAACATGTTTTAAATGAAAACAGGAGAATGGAAAATGTCCAAAAACATTATATTTGTAGAGAACACCAGTCTATAATTCCAATACAAAAATTATTTTTATTCCAAGGAATTTTCAAATACCATAAAAACACAACATTTCCCTCAATGTTTATTTTAGAATATATTCTGAACTTTGAATATGACTCGGAATTTTACTTTTATAAGTGTCCTTCAGCAAAAGTTATTTTGCTCTAATATAAGAAAAAATCACGGCAAAAGTTAAAAAAATAAAAATCCAACTATATGTACTTCTACACTGTTAACATTCTAACTCTATTTTCTCCAAATCTTTTACATAAATAAATTTCTTTTTTATTTTAGAACACTATATTCAATACTTAATTAAGATTAAAAGTTGGCTCTTTCAGTTAATGACTGAAAAAACGCCTACTTTAATAATAATACTACCAAATTTTCATTTGTTTGTATGGCATCCTGTTGAGTTGTGTAAGCAGTTCAATAGCAAACAGTGACACATTATATTACGTATTTATAAAACACGTGATGATGGTCAAAATGACTGAAACATGTAGCATAGTAACTTTTCAATAAAAATCAATTATTGAAAATAAAAAGTGGTGATTTATGGATATACCACATACTAATACTACCAAAGTTTTCAAACTCTTCCTCAATCCATCCATTCATCTGTTATTAATCTGAAATGACTACATGGGTCTCAGTCACCAATGCCATCTTTACTAGCAGCTTCCCTTGCACGCATGCACACACACAGACACACACACCACCATCTCACAAGCTTGATGGGGTTGTGAGCACATTTACCTTCAACAAGCTCAAGTAGCATGATCGGAGAAACAGGTTTGCTGTGTCGGAACAGCAAGTCCTTAAATTCTCGATTCAGAGCATCACCACCAGAATTAAACAGAGTTGACTGAAAATATTAAATTTTGAAATATAAATAACAAGGTACACGCTAAAGAAAGAACACAGACTGACAGTGTTAAGAGTATAAGGGATGAGGAGAATATCTGCACCTAAGAAAATCGTTGTAAGAGAAGTGTGATAAACATGGGCATAAAACTATACAATAATCTTCCTATGGAGTTAAAGAATGTATCTGATTTTAAAGTGTTTAGGAGGAAATTGAAGTGTTATTTGTTGCATAATGCCTTCTACTCTCTTCAGGAGTTTTTTTTATATGTAAGATGTTGAATTAAATGACTGTAATTGTCTGTTAATGCATGTGCTGGTGGTTTTTTATATAATATATTTAAGTATTTATGTATTCTTTGATTATGTTAGGTGTGATTGTTATTAAATCTATATATTCCCTTTGACTTTATCCGATTGTATATTTTACAGTTATGAATGTAAATAAAATTATGAATTATGAATTATGAGGAAGTGACAGGAGACATACAATTTTATAATGAAGAGGTTCAACATTTTTACTCTAATAAAATTAGAGTGAATGATCAACTGGTTTGCAATTTCCTTTTTTGTATCACCCCAGCTGAAGGTACTTTTCAAAATGTTTCCAATTTAATTACTTTCCTGTAGAAGCTCTAAGGGCAAACATTTTAATGTGCATTTACTGTCAGAAGAATTCTTCACAGAATAAACCCATCTTATCCATTATTGCTGTTCTGCATTAAAGCCTGACCACAGCTTGAAACTGAACACCCATGTCAGCCAATAGCTTCAGTCAAGCAGGATGATATGGGTGGAGCATTGGGAGCACATGAAGCGATACCCTGCCTCCACACGGGATACTCGCTCATCTGTCAAAGTCAAGTCAGTTATGTTACAACCCATGGTCAGTCAGCCAGTCTGTCTTGGAATAGAGCACCCACCTGGGGCTTAAGACCAAATCTTTATTTCTGTCAGACAGTTGCAGGTGTGTTGATGTGGGGTGCTCTCCCTGACAAGAGGATGCGTCTGTCATTGGCCAGAGTCACAGTCAGCATAATAAGTCTGTTGTCAGTATGTACAATTTACATTTTACATGTTATTAAATATATGTATATCGCGGTACCGTAGTTGGTTGAGGCACTATGCTATGAGCTGGAAGGTCATGGGTTCAAATCCCGATGAGGTCACTGGATTTCTTTCAATTGCCCTAATGCTTCCAGCTGCACTATGGCCCTGGGGTTGACTCAGCCTCTAACAAAAATGAGTACCGGGAATTAATTAAAATAATTTTCCTGGGGAGTAAAGCATGACCAAGACACAAGGCTGACAACCTTACCGCCATCTTTGAGCCGATTGTCTAGATAATATGGGACCGTCAAAGTCTCACAACCCTATGGGCCTTCATGGCCTTTACTTTACTTTTATGTATAGACAACGTATACAAGAGCTCTGTCAGTCAATTCAGTACAGCAGATTATGCCCTATCATTAGTAGCTCCTGCTACAACAGCAGGCTAGTCACTTGAATGTTTGTATGCTTGACCACTGCAAAGTTTAAGAACCGGTAACCAGTTACATAGCCTCAACATGGACCACATAGAAAACATCATTCCCAACAGTCTCTTCTATTGGTGTGTTATCAAGCAATGGCTGTCTTTATCAGTCATCCTGTCACATAATTAATAATCTATATACACCAACTAGGAAAAAGGCATGTCAGGTTTACCACATTCTCCAGCTCAACACTTTGTGGATTGTTTTTCTCAAAGTACTCCTGTGCAAGTTGCAGTTTATTCATTGCCTCCAGGAAAACATCCAATCCTGAGCCACCATTTGCAATTGGTCCAGGACCTGCCCGAACAACAGGCTCCACTTCCTGACTCACCCCATAAAATGCTATGACGTGATCTAATGCCATCAATGTGCGTTCAATGTCTTAAAAAACGTGAAGGATATAAACATAATGAATTCAGTATGTTTTTCAAGCTGCAAGCTGTCTCTCAGTGTAACTTCTTGCACCTAACAGCTAAGCAGCATACTTCCATTTCAACAAAAACATTCAAGATAGTGACACACTGAACCAAATGAAACCTTTATTAGCAAACCAACAAAACCATAAGTAACATCGGATATACAGTGACAGAATATATACAAATATGTACCTTAAAACAAAATTGTAATATAACCAATCACATGTTACAGATAATGTAAAATTAGTCCAAGGGAATTACATGAGAAAAGCAGAACATTACAGCAGAGCAGCAGATTTATTCATCCCAACAACTTGTTCACAGATGATGGCTAACTATGGTGAAACATAGTGACATACAATAAGGAGAAGACAGGTAAATATTAATCAAAGTAGCATGCAGATGGCAAAAAGTGGAACACATAGCAAGGATCTACAGACTTGGCTTGAATCTCAATCCAAACTTTAAACAAGTATCTTGTATCACTTACTATCCAGCCATCATCTGCGCAGCATAACTCTATGATGGCTTATTACATTTTGATGCAATGTAGTACTTAATTTAACCCTTTAAATCAGAGTGGTAAATATGTGTACCACCTGCTTTAATATTTTAAAACTCTACTAATCCCACAGTGTACTTATGTTATTCATACAGTTCCTAAAATAAACAGCTTTAACTGGTCTTTGTAACGAAAACACAGTGTTTTTCTGTGAGATAGGAACATAATTTTTAAATATTAATTAAATGAATGTCATGCTTCAAGGGATTAAAGAGCTATCTTATCTTTGGCTATTTAGTAATGCTGTTTCAAGCCTGGAGCTTATATAGCACTGTACTGCAATATGACAATTATTAATGGTAGCAAAAGCAGTTATGGTCTATTTCAGAGACTATTCCAGCACTCACCTGGACAGACAGGGAAAACCCACAGAACATCCCTGTCAAGATAACTAGCAGCCTAGCTGAGATTCAAATCACTTATCTTCCAAATACAAGTCTAGAAAATTATTACTTCACCAACCTGCATAGTAGGACAAGTTCTAAAAATAAGAAACAAAATAAAAGGATTCTCTGGTGTTTAAAAATTTTAAGACTAATGTTATAATAAAATATCAATACACCTGATGATAAGCAAATTACATAAGATCCCTACACTACATCACACCTCTTCAGTGGTGAATGACTTAAATATAGAGCAGGAAACAATCAAATGTAATTTGATCTGACTCAAAGGATACTTTCTTGTCGCCGTTGTAAGTTTCCTGTCTCATTATACACAGGCAGAATTGTTTCCTCCAAACGAGCTAAACGATGTTCAAATGATGACAAAATCCCAACCATTCCCTTTGTAAGCTGACTACTGCGATTCACCTTTTCTTTCAGTAGGTTTAGGTTATTCTGTTCCTGAAACACAGACAAAATTATGTAAACATCAAAACATAAAATGTAATATCCTATCACTGACTGTCAGTATTCGGATGTAACATGAAGTAGGAGAATATTTTTTTTTGATATTCATATTCATTTTTACACCTTATATTTATATTTAATCTGTCCAAAATTAAATGAATATGTGGAACAACCTTTATACTGTGAACTTAGTTTATGAAGAATACTATCTTTGGGGCGTGACGCCGTTTAGTCCGTTTAAAGTCAACCAGCGTTTTGGTGAAACATGTCGATTCAATTTCAGTGTCGAAGAATAAGCCGAGCAAAATAACAATATGAAAGCAGGTGGCAAGCAGAAGAGATGTTTCTCGGAAACGTCGGTTGACTTACAACGAACTACACGGCGTTATATCCTAGAAGATAGTAGTACTCTTCATAACCATCATGAGTACCTCAGTCCAACTTAGGTTATGTTTGGCAGGGATACAAAACGCTTTAAAATTCTATAAAATAAAATTGGCATACCTTTGCTAATTTATTTTCTATTTCATTCTTCCTCTCACTTGGATCGTGCATGATTCCAGTTACAAGGAATATCAGAAGACAAACAATGATCAACAATTCACCATCTCGAAAGCGACATTTTATTGATAACAGTTCCACCAACATTCGAGTATGAAAGTTACTAGTCACACATTGCAGAAATGAACCCTAGTGATGGATTATGTAACACTCCTGCTCTCTTGCATCGTCGGTTATTTAACGACACTTTTAGTAATATACATACTGAATTTGCATGTTTTCATTTAATTTCTTATTTATATCACAATGCATGCTGAACAGTGCAGGTGCCCATGATATAAACCGTGACGCGTGGTCAGGCGATTTTATTTAATACATACTTGTTTATTTATCCCACTCTTTCCGTAATGGAATTGTTCCCGTATAATGTCATGCAAAATCAATCAGCAGATTCATGGAAGCACCCCATATAATTTAATGAATTCTGAATCCACTTTAACTAAAGCATAAACTAAATTTAAGGACACTTCACTGTAAGCTTAGTTTGATTCGTAAATGTCATTATTTGGCATTATTTATTTACTTGTGTTTTGTTTAACGACCTCGTCGGCACTGCGGACTTTGTAACATTGAATGATGTGATGATTTGTAAGTAATGAGTTAGAATGTAGAATGTCGTGGCCTAATAGGAGGTACTATCCCGTCATTTGCCTGGAGAGACTGCGAAAAACCACGAAGAAACCTCAGTCCTGGAAGCCGGTCTTCCTGTACACGAAGCAGAGGTGCTACCCGCTCCATCACAACGTTAGGTTTGACATTTATTTTCTTCGTGAATACTTCATGAAACGGAAGTACTCTGTGGAGTTTTCATTTGAATGAGTTTTATGTTTGTCTTAAATCTCGCTGATGCTTTATGCTCTGTTTTCTTTTAATATCCTTTCTTGTATATGAGACAAACTCCGTCTTAAGTGCAACAATTTAATTGTAGCTCTTTCTTCTTCCCTTCCTCCACACTACATGTTTCGGCCCTAAATGGCCATCATCAGGTGTGTATTCTTACGTAGCTGCTACACTGCCCGTAGTTTAAAATTTAAAATCACCAGTCTTTCCAATTGTATATATGTATAAAATCTTTGTTAACCTACACGCGTCAATTTGATTTATAAAATTGGCACTTTTTTTTAAAAAAACTTCAATTCAAATTAAATGTCTAAAAATTTTCTGTTCTTTTGTTTTTCCAAATTTTTAAAAAATTAAAATTTCTCGGGGTACACGCCCTATGTCTATAGTGCTGCAGCGGCCACTTCTTGTTTTATCGCTGTTCAGGTATTGTTCTGTGTAGGCTCTCTCTGTGTGTGTCGCTGCTTATCTTTAATACGTGTGCTTAAATATAATATCCTATCTTGTGTTGGAGCTGGTTTTGGATTGGGCCCAGTTGAGTAAGTTCCGCCTGAAGACAAAGACAGGACCCAGCGTTCAAAACGTTGTGTGTTTTAAATAAAAACAGGACGATGGACAATGTCCAGAAACACAATAATTGTATAAATATGCTATCGTCACCAACTTTAGACCTTAATCCTCATTGATTTAATTATCCTAATTATATTTGGTGAGGAGTACGAAGTTCTGTCTACTTGTATACAAAGCTGGGTAATCAGCTGAAAGTCAGCCACCGCTGTCAGAACATCAAATCCTACATTGTGCATAACAGCTCCTCATATTATAACTTTCTCCATACACCTGTCACATCATCTCTTAGGTACAAAACATTCTCGTCAGCACCCTGTTCTCAAACATCTTCAGTCTCTGTAAGATTTGAGGCTTTCACGGCGGTGACTATGAAGAAAGNGTATCCATAAAACAGCAACAGGTGAAAGTATAATTTTATGTAATATTGCATGGACTTTCTTTTCCGTTATGAAAATATAACTGAAAATGCATTCTCCTTCTATCGGTCTGTAATTAAAGACAATTTGTAATTTTTCATCGCTATAAATTATAGGCCCAAATTACTATAGAAATACACAATAAAGTAATCCAATAGTTATTGAAACTAGACTAACACACGAAGTGCCCTATGGCTTTCGGTGCGCACACCTGCCAATCCAGGGGTGGACAATCTATGCTTAACATGACGAAATTTCATGACTCGCGAATCAACTGGCACGGGTTCCAAAAGACACATGAACGAATTACACATTGATATCCATGGGTTTCTAGACGTCTCTCATCGCTGTCTTACGTGGCTTGATTATTGAAAACTTGCTCACCCCTGTGCTCGCCATCGCGTTATTGTTGCAGGTGGAGCAACTTCTGAAGCTCTGGCTTGTCCAGCGACACCTGTCTGCCAAGCCGCCCAGCATTATGTAACTGAACAAGATGAGATACAGAATATATTCCAAGCTAGTTTCGTTCAAATCACACAAGTGCATTTTCCTTAAGATAAATTTGCATGTCGCTTCCATCTTGCTTTTGGTCTGCTGGGATAGCTCAGTCAGTATAGCGATGAGCCTACGTGATGGAGGACCGGGGTTCGATTCTCGGCAAGGGTAGAAATTTTTCTCTTGTTCACATTGTTCAGACCGGCTCTGGGGACTACCCTGCCCTCTCTCCAATAGGTGCCGGCGGCTGTATCCACGGGAGTAAAGCTGCAGAAGCGTGAAGCTGACCACTCACCTCCATCTACTGCCGAGGTAAGAAAGGTGGAGCTACATCTCCATTCCCCCATGCGTTATCATAGCGCAGTATTTAGTTATACAATTAAGTACAGGGATAACTTTAACGTTTAAAATTTAGTTTATCTTGTTTGGGTGATTATAAGTATATACTATCAACCAGGTTAGTATATAAAACGAATGTACGAGCATTTGTTAGGGGCTGCTCGAAACAGCACGTATAAATTCTGACAACCTGCTCTCGTTTTGTAGTACTTTACAAGAATCATAAATGTTCTATTGCAGGCTGAGATTTATTTATTAAAGTTAGCACATAAAATGTTTGTATTTATTGTTGAGTTATTAAATTAAATTCGGGCAGGCTCGCTACCATTCATTTCAGAATCTATTGTCCTCCTGTCCAGGTAGGGACGTAACAATTAACAAAACTACAAATTTGTTTTTTTTTTTTTTTTTTTTTTTTTGTTATTTGNTGGTAACAGTTTGAAACTTGGCCTCCCACACAAGGAACGAGCGTAGTCCGGCGGTGACGAATTCTGTCTTCAGAAAAATAATGTCCCGTAGTCCGTTGGAAGTCAACCATCTTTTCAGAAGAACCTTCAGGGTTGAAGATTAAGCCAAGCAAGGAACCAGCAGGAACAAAGACTGCACGTTATATCCCAGAAGACAACTCTTCATAACTACGCTCTGAGAATCCCAAATCCTCCATAGGTTGAGGAGGTGTCTGAGAACAGAGTGGTAATAGGAACAATTGGTCCTAAGAAAGGGGGCGTAATAGGAGGCGGGGAAGGACTACACAGTAAGAAGCTTCGTAATTTGCGCTCTTCGTCAAATATTATTAAAATGATAAAATGACGGTGAATGAGAAATGCAGGGCATAGCATCCATGAGAGAGAAAATGAATGCATGCGATGTTAGTTGGAATTGTGAAGAAAAGAGAAGAAGAATACATGAAAATAATATTAAAATGAAAAGTATTGGCTTGTGAGTTGTAACGCCATGTAGTTAGGACAGAACCCGACGTTTCGAAGGAACATATTACCTCCATCTTCAGGGCCTAAGAATATACCATGCGAGAAACAAGGATAATATTGAGGCAATATGTCGGGATCTGTCCCAACTACACGGCGGTACAACCAACAATATCGTACTCATAACAATCGCTGCGGTAATAACTCCAGATCCAGCACTATTAAAATGGATCTTAAAGAAATAGGATGGGATTGGATTGGATTACCTGGCTAAGGATAGGGTAAAGTGACGGGCTCTTGTGAACACGGTAATAAGCTTTCGCATTCGATAATATGCGTGGAATATCTTAAGTGGCCGAGCAACTGTTCGCTTGTGAAGGACTCTTCCACCCAGTTAGTTATTACCTGGCGACAGTACGGGCGTCCCAGGGGGGCCCTGGGGCGAAACTATTTTGGGAAGGGATGCATTTTACAAACTGTTTTTATTATAAAAATACAAATAACTTCTGCTTCTCTGTTCATATCACTATTAACTGACAATAATATACGAGAAAAATACTATGCAACGCTGTAATTTTTTTTATTACATCAGCGCAGTTTTCGTCAGTGTATATTTTTTATTAGTTGTGACAAATTTTTGAGAATGTCGCTCATTTCCTATGGGAAAAATGTAGCGGAAATTTTCATCGCCCGGGACGGCATAGGCTTCCATTGCATCTGCAGTACATAGATAACTGTCTAGACCATTAAGTGTCCACACTTTCTTTCCCCTAGTTCTATTCAATGCTGTGCTAACTAAAAAAACGTATATTTGAAAAACCGGTCCGTTGAGGGCGGGAGCTATCATATTCGATATATGGAACCAACACACTGCATTGTTTTATTTATATTATATGGATGTTTCGGCAAATAAGCTTAGTTCAGATGTGAGGAAAGAGCTCTGATCTCTACTCACGTCCTTCCTTTGGCTTTGTTCTGTAGCTCAGTCTCATAGCTATCGCTTGCTTCATCCTATTTATTTGCATTTTCTTTGTATGTTACTCTGCGCCACTCATACCCACTATGCTAATGCAGCAGCCTGTCACTGCGACGTGCCTTGCAGGTATAACCAACCACATGATGCAAAATTTAGAATTGGTGACCTGGGCATGCAGTCCCCAGTTTTATGGAGTCCGAAAGTTTATTGACGTGTTCACAACAGCCGACAATGGGCATACTGTGATCCAGTTGAATTCAAAACACGACCTGCTCATCATACTTGTCTCAGGTCTTGGCCTCTAACCTACGCATAGTTCTCCCAAATTATTTTTTCTCTCAAGATCTTCGGATCGCAATTTGCATTTATTTCTCATCTCTCTCGCTCGTGGTACACGTTCTGTCCATATATCTTTCTTCACATAATCACCCTGCCAATATCTGGGGGGAGTACAAATTAAGAAGTTCCTTATGTAATTATCTACATTTCATTTTTTCACTTGTTTATAGCCAAATTATTCTAATCAGGACTCCGTTCCCAATTAGCAGTATTCATAACCGCATAAAACAAAAAAAATGAATAGGGCATGAAAGATACATAATTATTAACTGAGTTGTAGCAAGAATTTTCCTGATTTAATCCACGGTGTTCTGAGTTCACACAACCCACGATTATGACCGACAACTAATTTGTTCTTGTTGGGTCCACAAATGTAAGAGCAGATCTATTTATGCAAGTCAGGAATACCTATCGTCCGCATGCAAACTGTAAGAAACTACTAAACATCCCCTCATAATAAGTTTAGAGTGACATCGTGATGCAGTCTATTATATAAAGCTGAATAAATGTAGTTGTTGATAGAAATTGGGTGTTGAAATGGAAGTAAATACAGAACATTGCATCACTAGTATGCAATGCAGCTGGCTATAGTTTTCCTATATGCGTCGGAATTATTTATTTCTAGTTCTGTGTGTTGTGATACAAAACATGATTTACTCAGGCTCAAACTCGATGTTCGCGTACTTTGCTCATGCATGTAGTTATGTGATACTTTTACCCTGTTAATGTCAATATTTGCTGCGAAATTTTATGTTCATTTTTACTTCCCTCAAAATCATTTTATTTAACAGTCCTAGCGCTCAGTGTTTTCATTATTTTATTTTATAACAAATGTCATTGGAACTTTCGTGTCAATGATCTGGTCCGTGTATAGTGATCTGTAGGATCTATAGTACGGAATTGTTCATGATGTTGGTCATCCTGTTTTGATGGCGGTGGGAACGGTGAGTGACATCTGGGGGTATCGTTGAGCTTGCTATATACGTGTAGCAATGGTAAACGGTCGATAAATAATTGCCATGTAACAAAATGAAGTTTTATAAGTGAAGTTCAAAGTACGTGCCGAGCGCGAAAAACGGAACAACCTGAAAAAGTTAAGAAAGTGGAATTTGGACTCCATGCTTTCTGCCCTCACCGGCACCTTTCATCCGTTGACCAATTATTCATCGCCATTTTGTTTAGCTTTGTCTGTTTATGATGGAAGTGGTTCAGGTTTCAGGTAAACATTTTACTTGTTTATGTGAGTGAATATGAATACCAGTATTATACTGTGTCCCTTGAGAGGTGTGAAATGCTTCCACATTTTGCAGCTTTGTATTGTGTATCGCGTTCGGAGTAGTGTTTGGTATTTTGCTGCTAAAAGAATAGAACAACCGGAAGTTTACAGCTAATTGGTTGGAGAATGGATGTAAATACTGTGCGTCTTTTGATTTTATGAGGTATTGCTGAGAAGATTAGTTTGGCATTTGTAATGGTGAAATGATGTGCTGAACAAAGGTTGATACAATTAATGTTTTATTAGGTTACTGTGAATGTATATGTCAAATTATGCCACTCTGAGATCGTAATGGTTTTGGTTGTATCAGTTTTAACAGCTCAATAAGAGGGGGAGGAGGTTCAATTGTGCAACAAACCCACTTACTTCAGAATGGTGATTTCTTCTGCGTTTGACATTATGTAACGATTTATATGAGTTTGCATGGGAGTAAGTAATGTATTTTGACATCAGTGAACCAAGTCGCATTAAAATAAACGTACTAATTCAGTAATAGGACCATGGGAATATTAATGAGATGCCGCGGTTTGGTGATACCAGTCGTAAATTGTGTTAGAGAAACATTTTTAATGCCAAGACAAGTGTAGCCGAACATTTTTGTTTAATGCCAAGCATAAGTATAGCATAGGATTAATATATTACCAATAATGCATAAATTACTTGAATAACAGGGGAACTGAAAATAGAATGTGTCATTGCACCTAAGCAGTGTTATTGCTTTCAGCTGGCAACATTTAGTCACTAAATATAGCCAGGAGCACAATTATATTTTTTATATGGTCTTGACAGATTTATTATAAATTTTGGTAATCAGATTCATAATTTTATTTTGTAACTGGAGGTTTGTTCTTATTATGGTATAAATAACATGTGAAAAAGTTAAGTGTGTAAAACAAGGTATTTGGTTAACCAGTAAAGTGCTTAGGAGACAAACAATTTTCATTGTCATGTGTTTAATTCCTGTATTGTGGCACAGGCTGTTTTGTGGATATATTATGAAATTTAGGAAGCAGTTCATTTTCAAGGGCCTGTGTAAGGATAACATAAATATTACACCAGGTGTCCAGTTAGATGTGCCTTATTTGCTTTATTTTTTTGACATAATTATACTAGTTATTTGTGTGTGTGCAAGTGAATTATTTCAGTTATGTCTGATTATGACAGATTAGTTTACATGAGATTTGTAAGTGTATTTCGATGATACATCTGGTTTTGACTGTTAAGTTTAAGTCTGATCCACTGAATGTAAGTTAATATGTCTGATTATGACATTTAAGTTTATATCAGACCTGAAATCCACTAATTGATATGTCTGGTTATGACAGTTCAGTCTGGTAAGAGTAAGCCAGGTTCAAATGTACAACATGTAACATGAGATATGGTGTAACATGTAGCATGAGAAGTGCTGAAATTAAGTAGTTCGTGTGTGTGTGTGTGTGTTTGTTGCTGGTGTGCCCAATGGGGCTGGATGTGACATGTCCAAACTGGCTTGCAAGCCACATGAAACTTTTTAGAACAGTTAATGCAGCTCATAGAAGAATATTTGGTGGTCATTTAAAAAAAAATGGTTAATTATAAAAATATACTGCATTGAGATCATGTTCTGGTCTAGATAACTGAGATTAACGGCCATGGGGATCTGTTGCGCTGACCACACGACACCCTCTATTTGCAAAAGTTGGCACCAACTTCGCCTACAAGCGGCGGTCGCTTGGTTGACATAGTCCGCTTGCGGACTAAGACCACAGTGTGTGTGTGTGTGTATTGAGAGCATGCACCTAAAATGTGTTAGCAACTTTCGAACTTATGAAAAGTATCGGGCTGTATGTTGTTTGATTTGTGTCTTTCGTGTGGACCATGCATAAATGAAACTCAAATGCTGCAAAATTTTGCATCTGAGGCCATGAATTTAATTTTATCCATTCTGGTCCATCACACTTGTTAATTATTATAAAATGATTTGACCATACAGCCCGATGTGACTCAATATATATTTATATAATGCCTTTACATATTTTGGTCAATTGTGACTGTCTTCAGAAGACAACAGTTCCACAACATTTTGTTATTGCCTTCTGAAGATGGTCACAACTGACCTAAACATGTATGGGCATTATATAAATATATACTGAGTTACACTGGACGGTGTTATTGAAACCACGAGGGTTCAAACCACAGAGGCTCTTGTGATTTATTGGTATTATGTAGTTCCACAGTAATTACAAATTTTGATATTTATTGTTTAATTAATCACAGTGAAACTACATTGATTGCTAAGATGGTTAGCATTGAATGATATTTATTGGATTGAGTAGGCTGGCCTAGTGGCAGCGCTCTGGACTTTTATGTGGGAGGTGTTACATTTTTTTGAGCTAAACGTCCTTGAGTGACATATGGAAGCTGGTATATTAAAATATTAAATATAGTTGCTCACAGTGGGGAAAGAAATGTTATACTTAAAGCAAAATTATGTTGTTGTCATTGCTTATGTGGTTTACAATCGAAGGGCACAGGGGGCACAAGAAGTTTATGGTGCGTTGTAAAATGATTTGACACCTCAGCTTATGTTTGTGATTATTGTCCTTTACTGGAGACAAATAAGAGATTCCCCAGCTCTGGAAATGAAGACCCTGCTGACAGTTTTATATCTGATGGTCCGGCTGTAGTGTATGTGTTGCAGTAAGAACCAAAAATCCATAACTGTTTACTGAAACATTTTTGAGGGTATATCATATATGGGGTAGGGAACGTTATGGAAGGAAAGTCTTGTGTGTGTTCAATGAAATTTCTGGTGTAGTGAACTTGGTTCCCATCCCATACCGAAAATAGAATCTGGTAACTTCTCATTGATGAAGTAACAATCTACATCATTATTTGATGATGTTGCACCCTCAGAGGTATTTTGACGCAGTTTACTGGTTCATACTAGTAAGAACTAGAAGTCCCAAAGCACAGGCAAAAGTAGCATTCCTTAAGAATTGGAAATTACTACTGCTGTTGGTAAAAACCTGATTCAGCTGCAATGTCTTCTGCTGTTTTCAGTAAAAACATGCTGTCACATCTCCATTAGAAGTAGTACTTCCTGGTCTTTGTCGTTATGAAGGAAAGCCCCATAATTATTATACAAGTTATTTGTTCATTTCAAGGTAAAAAAAAAAAAAANATATCCTATACAGAAGTCATGCATGTCTATGTGTGACTTATTAACAGCACGTAAACCACTGTACAGACTTTTTTTTTTTTAAATCAGAGTTGGAGACTTTTAATAAAACATGCCAAGCAATTCCAATTTTCAGCCTTATGTATTCATGGCAAAGTTTACTTTATGTAAAGTTATGTATGAAGTTTTCATGTACATGATAAACCATTAATTAAATACTGGATTTAATTGAGCTTAATCTTGCATTTTTTAAGTCACTGGTTCCAATTTTGGGGGCAAATTTTCAGTGCATTGTCCATGAATATGCATGGATATGCCAAGTGCTTTGGACTCTGTAATGATAGAAATTGTTCACATTACTGTATGAGTAAATTGTATACTTTTTATTTATACTTCATTCTAGATGCACCACATAGTTTGAAGTATTTGAAGGAAAATGGGCAGTGAATGTTCTTCTCATAATTTCTTTTGAAGGAGTGGAATGTATTATAGTGACTATCCTAGTTTTCTGGACTTAACTTCCATAATTTTTACTGTTCCTCTTTGGTTCTAGAATAGCTCAGTGTTTATAGTAACTGGCTGCAGGCTGGATGCCCAGGAAGTAGGGGTTCAATTCCCAACAGGAACAAGAGAATTGTCTCATCTCAAAATTGTTGAGGCTGGCTGTGGTTCCCATTCTGACACAGGGGCACTTTCCTGCAGGATAAAGCAGCAAGGGTGTGAAGCTGGCTGCTCACCTCCACCTAGTTTCAAGGCTAAGAATGCATGGAGCTGTACTTCCAATCCCCATACATCTTTATGCCATTGTGCTTAATTTTAACTTTTACATTCATTTCTATTCCATTGTATCAGTTTACATAATGAATATACAGGGTGTTTCACGACTTTAGGTCATAACTGCAGGANGACATGATGAATATATTAATGATAGTAGCAAAACTGTATCAGCTTTATGACATACAGTTAAATGGGGGAATCTGAGAGAATGTGTTCTGTTTAATACTTTTTGTTCTGTGAAATGTATGGCATGTTCTATAGAGATTCAAATCATCCAGTTGGAAAACCTGCCAGTTAGATAATGGAAATATGGCTGCTGGTGTAGAATTCTAATTTTTAGTATAAGTGGTAAATTGAGTTTGAAGGTTTCTGACAATCCTTTAATCGAACATTTCAAAAAGATGATTCTGTTCCCATCATCTGGTGAAAATGTGAGATATACTTAATTGGGCCTATTAAGTGGGGTAAATCTTTACATCTGGAAATAGAGCCAGTTTCTGAAATACCATGTTTCTTCAACCCAAGTTCGATGCTGGACATATGCCAGGTTAACGCTTTGCATGCTACATAGTGACTAGATTGACTTTGGACACATGCATTACAACTGCCACAGCTGATCAGTAAATACAGCCTGTCCTTCAATAGATGGCATCAAGTGTCCCCTATTTTTAGATAAAAGAATGTACTTTCACATGATACATAACTGCTGTTTTAAGGTCATTTGGGGGAGCTATTGGAGGATTTTCTGTGCACTGTCAAGCAAAAAGAGAAAGTACTGACAAGCAAAGATTGCTATGTGCCATTGTTGATCCCATCAAGTGATGGGGTGTTGTGACTGTGTTATTGTCTTGTACAGATATTACTCAAATGAAGAGAAACTTCAAGTGTAATGTGTTAAGGTTCAGAATAGTCTAAATATAAAACAGTTTGCAGTTTTCTTACATGTTCTTTTCCATTTTCTTTTTGAATGTATTAAAAAATCCAGGAGCCAGGGTAGCGAACTTGGTATAAGGACTGGCTACAGGCTGGGCTGCTGAGGCTTCAGAGTTAAAGAGTCCCTGTAAGGGCAAGATTTTTACCTTCTCCATGTCGTCCAGACTGGTTCTAGGTCCCACCCAGCCTCCTGTCCGATGGGTACCGGGGGCTTTTTCTCCAAGGGTAAAGCAGCTGGGACGTGAAGCTGACCAGTCACCTACAACTTGTGCTGAGGTCAAGAATACATAGATTTGTACATCTGTTTCCCTATTTGAGGCATAATGCTCTATTACGAGGGGGAATCGGTAAAAAGGTCACAAGTATAAGATGTAATAAATGTGATATTTGAACCTGGGAAAAACATTTCTTTCTTGACATATCCTCCACCAACATTGATACACTTTTCCCATTGCTTTACCAGTGCATTGAAACCCGCATCATAGAGGTCTTTTGACTTTCCATTTCAGCCTCTTCATCATCAGTGAAACATTTTCCATCAAGGTGGCAATTTCTTGACTCAGTTGTGAACCACTATATGGGTCAAACACTTCCCACCATTAACAGGAAACTTTTCTGTATGAATATCCTTAGTACTGAGTCCTTTTGCCCACAAAAATGCATAACAGAATGCTGCTCTTTTATAATACACTCCTCAAGCACAGTCACCATTTTGACTACCGAAACCATTCTCTGAACAAGTGTTTGTATGTCTGCTACCTAGGTTCTCATGTAGCTGGAATTGCTGCTACCTAGTGGTAGCACAGAAAACCTATTACATCCGTTACAGCTGTTTTACTTCCATTTGTGACATATTTACTTACTCTCCCTCATTGATCATTGAAGGTTGCGGTGCTAGGGCTGGATTTTATGGCCCACTCCTCATACTCTCCCTCATAGTTAAGCACAGCGACAACTTTACCTTTCTCTTACAAAATCCAGTCTTCATGGATGGTTGGTCCAGCACATGAAACTCCTGTACACGAGAATGTTGTTGAATGTGCAGTTTCAGTAAGAAACTTGTGTTGCTCCGTCTTCCTTTTTTTTTTGTGCCTGATTACTGATATCTGATATTTAATTGCAGCAATGCTGTTCCTGTAAAAGCTGCATGGAACTTTACAGCATGCCCCAGCTACACAAAACATCACCAGTTTATACAAATACACAGTACGAGGGTGGGGGAGAGGACATCACTAATCGCAGAACATCTACTAGTGATGTTAAAAAGGTGAGATTTTGAAGCATAATTTTACTTACATATTGTGACATGATAACTGAAAGAAATTGTCCACGCTAGGTTATGGTAGTGTAAACCTGTGTCGACGCCATTTAACAGAGATCTAGTGCAACGCAGTGGCTGGTAAGTAACATGCAACAGCTGCTTCCCATGGCAGCAGACGCACACAAAACAATAGAGGAACTGTTGGAAACGGTTTGGTCTGTCCTGATGCTAAACAGACAGACCAACTTACCAGCTAAGGCCATGTGGAGCAATGGATTAGGTGCAAGACAGTTGCCAGCTGGTAATGACTTGAGCACAGAAGCAGAGGACATGTTGGGATCTGTTACCTGGCCACAACTGGTAAAAAGACAGCAGACTGGGAAGTCTTTGTGTGCTGTAGTGGGAAGTTGAGTACATGAGTTAGCGAGAGCACTATACTTGCTTGTAGTTACAACTTACGTGTGCTCAGTAAATCCAGTTACCAACCTAAACCCCATGTGCAGTCAATTTCTTTATTACAATTTTGTTATTAAAACTGTCACAACACAACTATATTAAGGTCAGTACCTAGTTTGGCTCTGCTACATGTTTCGGCTATTAAGAGCCATCATCAGGCAAATACATGGCTAACATATTATATACCCATGTGTAGTCACTAAATAGGTGGCAGAATGTAGTTTGATAAAGTATTGTATTTCTGAAAAAAACTGATGACGGGATTTTGGTGGATTTACACATTTTCAACGTCCCAGAATATAAGAATTGTTCTTTAATGCATTGTATGTGTATGAATATGTGCCTTACTGGCACCTGAGAAATTTTACAGATTATATTCACGCTCATTATTTAGTGGTTTATCCATCATTTCAGTACCTTGTGAATATGAATATTCTGGCTCCTAAAGGGGTCCCTTGTGCTCCCAAATAAGAAGATATTGATTTTCTTTATTGTGGCTCTAATGATTTTGGTTAAATTTTAGTAATTTATCTACACCATCTCTGCAAATAAAACTTTATACGCTATGTCCTCAGGAAAATAGTACACGTTGATTTTCCCGAAAATGGTTTTACCGATTTTGATTATGTTGATCTTCTTTATGGGAGGTGAACCAAAATATATTTTTATGATCTCAAACATCATAAATGTGACATTATTTAAGGTTAGCAGAGGCCGTAATCCTTCAAGCATATACAAGAGAAAGTGAAGTGTGTGCAGTACTTTTGTGCAGATTCTGTATGTTGTGTCATGCAACTGTTACAAAGTTTGTAATGAATTTGCAATTTGCTTATATATATATGTATATTTTTTAATGTACTATCAGAGAATGTGATGCAGGTTGTCTAATTGTAGGTGATAATATGTTTGGTTTGTAATTTTAGTATGGACCAGTGTCGAATGATGCATTGCCATTGTTAACAAGTTCTGCATGGAGTGCGGTGATCCATCGCCCAGCTGATGAGGACTCAGAGCCAGACAATCTTCCCTCCACAGTGGATATGGATGCTATCAAGGTAAATTTTGTGGCTGCAGGGCATCTGTTTAACCTTTAATGTACTGACTTTCAAATTACCAGCAGCCCTCTGTGGCTAGAATTTAAATGGCCCTAAGTCTTCAACGTTGCAGACTTTCAGAAAAAACTATATATTTTCTGTTCTATGCAACATAGAAATACAAACTAACAATCTGAAAGACAATAAAATTTTCTACATATACACAAAAGAGCAAGTTTTACAAATGAAAATCAACTGATTATTTTGTCATGAAGTGCAAAATATAATCTTTATTATATATGTTATGAAATTCCAAAGGACTTACCCATAGTTTTTTCTTCAACCTTGAAACATGGTTATTTTGTAAATATAATCACACTATATACAGTAATATTTTGTTCAGACTGTACGCGAGTTTGAACTGCATCACTTCACAGTTTACAATACCTCACACCTTGAAGCGCATGTGCCACTTCTCAAAGCAGTCCACGACACACAGCGCAACATCACACTTTTTTACAATAGAAAAGGGTGCTCCTGCTTTTCTTATTTAACAAACACACACAACATCTTTGTTTCCCTTTGGTTGACCAGTGTTGTGAATGTTTCACCTCCAGTCGACTCAGTTGGGCAATACAGTAACATTTCTTTTTCTTTAAGAAGTGTATGGAAATTACACCCTGATTTTAAGAACATAAACTTAGGGGGGGGGGATGCAGTTTATATTCAGGCAAATGGAGTAATTTATTGTAGGGAGAACTGCCTTAAGCATTTTTAAAAATCGCAGTATATTTTTTTGTAATGTCTTAGTAATGGGGTGGGCAGGTCACATAGGACAAATTGGGGAGACGATGAATGCGTATATGATATTGGTGGGAAAGCCAGAAGGAAAGAGACCACAGGGAAGACTAAGGCATAGGTGGGTGGACAATGTTAAAATGGATGTTGGAGAGATAGGATGGGATGGTATGGATTGGATGGATCTGGCTCAGGATAGGGACTGGTGGAGGGCTCTTGTGAACAAGGTAATAAACCTTCGGGTTCCGTAAAATTCTGGGAAATTCTTGAGTAGCTGCAGAATTGGTGGCTCCTCCAGAAGGGTTCAGCTCCATGAGTAAGTAAGTAAGTAATGTTTTAGTATGAATTGCATTACTGTGTCAGGGTTCCCCAGCAACATCACTGACGGCTCCTAAGACTCCATTGGCTAATGTTGATGCTCTATGGAGTCAGGACAAGGAGGAGAGGAAAGAGGAGGTGTCAAAAGATCTTGGAGAAGCAGGGGGCAGTGAAAGTGATGAGAGTGAAGCAGATGAATCCGACAGTCAAGATTCTGATGATGATGATGATGGTGACTCAGGAGATTCTGTGACTGCCAATGGCTCGGTCAGCGATTCAGAGGTGAGTGAACTTCCATTATCTACATATACGTGCAGTAGTGATGTAGTGTAGTAGCTGCAGTCTTAAATTCTCATCACGTCACTGGATAATTTGTTATGTTTTCAATCCTACTTAATTTAGATCACAAAAATATATTTAATTCTGTTTAACATTACATAGCATAAGCAAATTTTGCATGTAATTTAATGCCTGACCCCAGCCCACCTTAGAATTGCCATAAGATTTCATGATTAGAACTCATGACACTCTGAGTCAGCTTAACAGTTGCAACTGGTTTGGTCCAAAAGCTTGCAAACAAATGTGTGGTTGTGTTGGAAATAACATATATTGCAAATTGTTTCTAACACTGATTAATTCTTCTGTGAATGCTTTAAGAACTGTGTTACATGAAAGTGCACTTGTTCATCCTGCGTTATAACTTAATATCCCAATCTTTTAACTCTTCATGGGCTTGGCCACATTTTAAGGAAAACAACTTTAGCAAAGTCCCCAAAACTAATCGATAAACTTGGGTGATTTAAGATGAGTATGGATTATATTCAGGGAACATTTAGAATTGATATGCATTTATGCTACTATATTTATAGACTCACAAGGTTACCATGCATATTACTGAAGTACAGTCAACTCTTGATTATCCGGGGGCAGATTAACCGGTTTGCGGCTTAACCGGGGCTACTGAGGCTTTTTTGAGGCTTATATGTTGTTTAATATTCATTCACTTTTGTTTCACATAGCGAGTTGTAACACTATTTTCACACTAGTGTGAACCGAGCTCTGCATTCTTTGGTCCCGTTATGCTAACACAATGTTCTAGGGTAGGGGTGAAAGAATGCAAGGATTTGTGGAAAGTTTCAAGGACAGATACATCGCCCCAGTTAGTATCTTTGTATCGATCTTCAAGTGCGTTAGCAAAATGTCAGGGGCTAAAGGAAGCGTGTTGTGTTAAGTATTTAACAGAAAAAGGAAAATGCCGCGAAAAAGTAAACGACAATATTAAATTTTTTTAAGCGTTAAGTGTGAATATTCATAAAAAGTGTTGGATGTTGTTGAAGACTGTGATTGAAATAACTAATTCATACTTCAGTGTAATGTAAAAAAAGTATTAAATAGGCCATGAGATGACATAAAAATGAGGTTGAATAAATTTAAATACAGGTAGGCCTAAAGTATTATGAAGGTACAGTATTACAGTACTACTTTTAATAAAATTTGTCTTAACCAGGTTTTCGATTAATCGTGATTTCCATCCCCACCAGTATCCTGGATAATTGAGAGCTGAGTGTATATCATCAATTTTCTCTGAATCTTATGATTTGTAAACAACATCTTTAGGATGTGAGGTTCTCACAGCACTGGTTATTAAGAGTTCTGTCTTCAAGGATACAACGCCATGTAGTGCATAGAATGTCGACCAGCATTTTGGAGGAACGTATTGCTACCATCTTCAGTGTTTTAGGTGATGTGTTCCTCAAAACATTGTTTCAATTTCAGTGACCTACTTGGCATTATATTACAAAAGATAAAACTATTTGGTCTTGTGTTACTAACAGAAATATTCAGTATTTTATTACAAACGAAAGCATATTATTTGTACTGCCATATTTTGTCCCAACTCAGTGTCGTCATAGTTATTTACATTCAGATCTGAATCACTGTCTGCAAATAAATCTTCGTTTACTGTCAACAGGAGATGAAAAGACCCGGCCTGAAGAATGGCAAGTTTTGCAGCATAGATTTCATGTAAACAAAAATTATTTGGCATTTGCATTTTACATAGAAATGTTATGAATGTACACAAATTCCAAAGAGTCGCCCCTTTCACCATGTTTCTTTTTCTTATTCATCGCTGATGTTGCAGCTACCTGAAAGATTGTAAATTCATGTGAATTGCCATACATAATACCTCTTTCACCCATCACTTCTGTTCTAGAGTGTGAACATGGCTGCAAAATGTGGCCCTGTCAGAGAATATATTGACATCCAGTGCACTTGTGAGAAGTTCCTGGAGACCTAACTTGTATTGTAAGCACTTACATAATTCTTCATGCCAACTATGTGAGATTTTGGTTGCACATGTAAGGTGCATACTTAACCAGTGTTCATCCATAAACCTTATTTAAAAGGCACGCTATTGGAAATTATTTTCCTTCAGCACAGGAAAGAACTTCATACATGTTGACACTGTCTTCTGCCTGACATGAAAGTCATCTACACTGTTGTTTTTATTACATGCCAGTTCAGATTGTTCGTGGAATCTGTTTGCTGGTCTGCTTGGATCCTTTTCTATCCAAGGGAATGTAATTCTTGGTTTGTGCATTCTCTTCTGATTTCCATAACATTGTTTTGTGGCATCTTCATTGATGCGCCATCCTTGTAGTTGTTTCACTCCATGGAAGCATTTCTTCAGATGTATGTTTTTCAAAGCATTAGGTAATTCATGTAATGTGTCTCTTTACATCTGTGTTGTGAACTTCCGATATGGCTGGAAGAATCCACTGGACACCAAGCCATGATGACACTATAGTGTAACACCCAGACTCACAAATGTAGGGATCCAATTATGCAAACAAGGAAGGCCTGATATTGTCCCTTTAAGATACAGTAAAACCTGTCTTAAATGGAATGTTAAGGGCCCAGAACTTTTTTCTGCTGAAGCCGGGTTTCCATCTTATCAAGGTATACAGTAGTAATTAAACCAGGAAATGCACGTATTTTAGACAAAATTAAACACCATACTCATTAATTTATTCACACTGTAATCATTGAACACATGCAAACATTACACTGAACAGAAAAAAAAATTGCAGTACTCACTTTTTATAATTTTACCAGAACTCTAGAAGAGTTTTTTTTTTTTGCATGCAGTTTACTCTGTTGGCTGCCTGACTTTCCCAAAACATTTTAGCTTGAGAAATTACACTAAGCATATCTGACTCATTCTGTTGTATGGCAAATTCCTGCAGTTCGTATCCCTTGATTATGGATTATTGATTATTGACAGTAGTTTCAAAGGAAATTTTCAGACCCCCCACAGTCTGTCATCTTGCCATCACAGTAATTTCAGTACTGTGCTACAAGCCATGGGTTCAGTTCCCAATGAGCGCCATTGGATTTTTCAGTTGCCCTAATCCATCCAGCCACACTATGGTCCTGGGGTCAACCCAACCTCCAGCAGAATTGAATGCCAGGAATATTCCTGAGTGTAAAGGGCTGCTGGCATATAAGGCTGACAGTGTCACCGCCCTCTGTGAGGTGATTGTCTGGAAGAATGTGGGAGCCTCAGCGTCTCACAACCCTGTGGGCCCCGTGGCTTGTTACAGGGATAGCTTTACCTTTTTTATCTCTGCTTTTACAGGCTACCTATGTGAGAAATGTTGAAAGTACTAATAGTCTGTGGTATATACTATAGACCGGCCACAACAAAGGGAATCGATTTCTGACAAAATATTTTTCAAATTACAAACATCTGATTCACATAGGAATGTATTCTTGTGTTATGCATCCTCAGTGTATTACGATTATTTGCAAAGAAAGTTGATTATCAGGAGATATTTCACACACCTTAAAAATATAGTTCTTGACCTATAATGCGTAAATAATAGCAGGAACCTTTTTTTAAGCATTTTTATGAACTGTGTATATCAGATACTTCTGGTACTTGTCTCAGTTCCACATACTTTCCATTGTGATTGACGTTTTTCAAGAGTAACATTTCAGGTGACTTCCCATACTTTCTAGTGACTTACTGTAATGTGTAGAATTGTTCTTTCAGAATCCACCATGACTGAAATTGATGAACATGCATGAAAAATATTGCTGAATGGCCATAAATGTCGTGAGCATGAGTATGACGTGAATGTAAGAAGACTGTTTCAGACTGTGTACAGCTAAGTATAAATGTGTGAGCATGAATATGATGAAAGTGTGTGAGAAATATGCAGATCATGTGAGCATGTATATGATGAAAATGGGTGAGAAATATGCAGATCATGTGAGCATGTATATGATGAAAAT